CCCTCCCCCGTTCATGCTCTGTCTCTCTCTGTCCCAGAAATAAATAAACGTTGAAAAAAAAATAAAAATAAAAAAGTAAAAAAAAATAAATAAACTCACAAACTGTGAAGTCATGACCTGAGCCGAAAGCAAGAGTCAGACGCTTCACGGACTGGGCCCCCCCGGGCGCCCCTATTTTCCAATCTTAGACTTTCTAGAGAAACAGACTGACTCCTTCTGATGGAGGGTGAGGCCTTGGCCCTCTGCTCCCCACCCCTGCATGCATGAATACACACCCTTTGCTGCTACCTTCTCTGTGCATCCAAATCCAAAATTTGGGGTGCGTCAATATTCAGCATCTAGAGTGTCAGGCAACTGTAACAATTATTCACGGTTGAGCCATGTCGTATGCTGTGATCCGTTCTGTCTTCAAACACTTTCCACTTCCCTTGTAGGCAACAACGATCCGGAAAGACCAGCAACCGAAGAGAAAACCGGCCAACGCGCGCGTCCGGTCCACGGGGAAGAAACGCCAACGGCTCTGAAATGTTGTTAAAGTCGCTCCACCTCACGCATAAGAGAAGTCAAAATTAACACTACATCGGGAGAGCATTCCTCATTTATCAGCTCAGAAACCCAGAAGCCTACGACCCGGCGCATGGACGAGACCTCGGAGAACAGGTGCTTTCATCCATGGGGGCGGATGGGGGTGGAACGGCGGGGCTGGCGCGGGCCCTGTGCGGACATCGAGGTCAGGTGCAAGGGCGCCTCCCTCCGGCCCGGCAAGCCCGCCTCTGGGGGTTTGTCGTGCAGCTGCACTGCATGGATACGGTTACCGTGGCATTCGCGTGTACGAGCAAAGCCCCGGGAGACGCCCAAGTGTCTTTGTAAGAGAGCTGGTCACATACACGACTGTGCTACGTGACACAGGAGAAAGGGAAGCTCTCCATGGAAAGACGCCCAGGGTACGGTGTGAGGTGGAAGGAGCCGAGTGCAAACGGTGTATACGGGATACAAGAAAAGAGGCGCCCGCTGGCTCCGTGGGAAGAGCACGCAGCTCTTGATCTTAGGGTTGTGAGTTCGAGCCCCGCATTGGGTACACAGATTACTAGAAAAAATAAGCTAAAAAACAAGAGAACACAAGAAAAGTAAGAGCAAATACACATTTATGTGAACCTTATTAAAAAACACTGGAACGAGGGATGCCTGGGTGGCTCAGCCAGTTAAGCTTCCGACTTCAGCTCAGGTCATGATCTCACAGTCCGTGAGTTCGAGCCCCGCGTCGGGCTCTGTGCCGACAGCTCGGAGCCCGGAGCCTGTTTCGGATTCTGTGTCTCCCTCTCTCTCTGCCCCTTCCCCACTTGTGCTCTGTCTCTCTCTGTCTCTCAAAAATAAATGAACATTAAAAAAAATTTAAAAATAATGATGAAAACATTTTTTAACTTTAAAAATAAAATAAAATATTGCCTGGGTTATTTTACTGCTTTTTCTTTTCCTGATTTTACCAATTCATCCCTAAACTCTTCATCTCTTTGACTCTTGCTGTCAATGTGATCAAACTCATCTAGCACTTTGGCAGTGCTACCTTTTTTTTTTTTTT